CCTAAATTCCAAAGAGTGATTCAAAGTGACCCTGGACCAATTGCTACAAAACTCATTACCTACTACATATATTAAGCTTCTTCATTTTGGATGGCCGAGTTGTTTAAGTATTTAAGTGAGGGCTTCTAAACATGTCCAGGAGTCATTCAGATGGAGGGCTCAGGAACATCACAGCACCTAATTCTAATCAGGAAAAAACAAGTAACTCATATCGACAGCATTGAATTCAGGTAAAAAATCAGTGGGGGCCGCCACCTACCTTTTGACCAACAATGTAGCAATTAAAGTACTTGCCTGGGAGGTAGGAGATCCACATTCTAGAGTCACCTTACCCAGAAAGCAGACAATTTAAGTTCAGATTCTTTCTAGGAGAAAGCCCTTAATCACTAGGCTATAAAATAGTCTGGGTGAAGGGAATCTTTCCGCTTTCCTTTGAAACTGTGCCACAGTGCCACTAAGGCTATTCTTACATGTTATTTTTAACGTGTTGTTATATTTATATCGTATTAATATAACTTAGAAAGTTTTCTGAGCAGTTGCACATTAATGCTTACTATAATCTAAATATAAATCGTAGTACCCCACCAGCTCTTGAACCAGCTCTGGTGGGGTCCCAGAGCTGAGTCCAAAAAGCTGATGAATTTCAGTCTCAGCTCTGGGATTGCACAGAAGCCAGTTCAAGGCTCCAGTGCATTAAAGAGGCTGTAAGCCAGACAAACAGCTGCTTGTTGCAATCCCACTCCCCAACTCCCTCACATAGCACCTCAGCCTTGCCACTTCAAGGGCCCAATATGGTAAGGAAGCTGGGAGCTGGACAAAGAGCTGCTTGTCTGTCTTCCTCTTCCTCACTCCCCACCTGGAGCCAGTTCAAGGTTCCAGTATGGCATGGGGGCTGGGAATGACCCCAGCACTGCAAGGGAGTCAGTTCCCACAACACACTAGAGCTAATTCAAGTCTCTAGTGTGCTGTGGTACAGTGGCTGGGAGCAACTGTGGTACCACACAAGAGCTAGACCAAGTCCCCACTCTGCATGGGGGCCTTGAACTGGCTTTTATGCAGTGTGGGGCACTGGAGCCCCAGAGCTGTTTGTAGCTCCCACTCTGCCCTACCATACCACAGCCAGTTTTCTCTTAAGCAGTGAAAGCAGGAGGCTTATCAAGTTCCCACCCCCTATCACACTGGAGTCTCCTGATCATACTATCTCTGTAGAGCAGTTGGACATTAGCTTAACACATTAGGTAATACGATTTGGTGATACTCCTTTCTGGAAAAGGCTAATGGTACTATGCCATGATGACATTTAGCACATGCTTTACTGTTTTAACACTTGGACACTTGTGTGGTAAGTGCTGTTAGCATGTTAAGTGTAATGTGTAAGAATACCATAAGAGTTTGAGTCATAGGAGCAAAAGAAGAGCAAGGAAATGGTAATCTGCCTCTGTAGATTTGTACTGGTTATAACACTCATTTGGGAGGACCAAGTCTTGGGTCCTGGTCCTTGCTGCCTACATAGTTTCTAACTACCTAATATAAAACAAACCACTACTGGGAGTAGAGACCAGAACTGCTGTAACAGTTAGATGTGAAGGCAGACTTCTTGCTTGCTCCCTATTTTTTTTAATGAATTTTGTTACCAGGATCTTTCATAGTGACCCAAGAAAAAGTTTTATGTTAACACAGTAGCTGAAGAGACCTGCTATTCTATACCTGTTTGTATTTCTTACTGCTGAGGCTTCTTATCCTAGTAGGCTGCATTGTTGTAGTCCAGCTAGAGGCTGAAGGAGGTGTAGGTATTACTTAGGCCAGGTCATCATCTGTCAGGATGATGAATATTCTCCTTACTAGTCGTAGATAGTGAAATTTGTTTTTCTTTTTTTTATCAAGGTTGCATTGTGGCAGCTTAGTATCACAGCTTAATATCAGTAACGAATCTAGGTATTCACCTAATTTGTGAACAGAGTTACAAATTATGGGTGTGTTTCTTCAGTCAAAGACTGTTTCTTGCTTCAGACTCCTTCGTGTTTACTTTGGCCTTCTGAGTAACCTTGACTTACTCAGGTTCAGCCCCAACCAGCCATTCTTCATTGCTGAACAGATCTTGGTCAAACATTAGTATAGCTTAGTGTTATTAATGGTGTTTCCACATTTTGCAAAGAAGAGAGAAAGTTACTTACTACATATCACTAGCATTTGAGTCCAAAATTGTCTTGCCAGTTTATCCATTATCTGCTTCCTAATCTATGAATTTATAAATTGGGAAGCATATAACAGCAGCATTACACATATGATGCTGTACATTAAGTCAGTGGTTCTCAAACATTTTACACTCAAGACACCCTTTGGAAAATGTCAGCTTTTAACTTTCACTTTTTTTTTGATTAGGGAAACATAATGGAACAAACCTGTCTCAAAGAATTCTAAGACCTCAACAGGTCAAAATGTTTTTGACACTATGCATTCCTTTTGGAATCTCTGGGTTTATCTTGTGACTGGTGTAGGTGTTTGCACTTCTAACAGTGCTAATATTGTGTGGCACCCTTAAAAGGATTCATAGCACCCCAGGGTGCTCAAGAGGGTATAGTTATCTGTGGTGATGCAGGTCCAAACCAACTACTTCCTATGTTCATCCACCACTAAATGAGACTGTCTCTGAGGAAGGGTACCTTCTGCCAGAAATCTTGTCTAAGATCTCTCCCAACTATGCAGTTGGCCCAATAAGATACCACCCTAAAAAATCCTTGCCTCTTGCATAGACAGGCCCCAAGGAGGACTATAAAACAACAGCCCATACTTGTAGGGAACAAATTAGAAAGGCTAAGGCGGCAGCTGAACTTAGATTAGCAACAGGAATCAAGGGCAACAAAAAGTCTTCTTTAGGTATGTAGGGAACAAAAGAAAAGCAAATGGGAGTGTGGAGCTGCTGCTCAGCAGCTCAGGACAGCTGGTTACAGACACTCAGGAGAAAACTGAACTCCTGAATGACTACTTTGCCTCAGTGTTTCACTGGGCCATGGGGAAAATCATGCCAGATAGGGTACAGAATAAGCAGGGCAGAAATGACTGCTGCCCTACTTTCACCATGGAACTGGTGTGTGATCAGTTACAAAAATTAGACACACACAAGTCAGCAGGACCAGATGAACTCCATCTGAGGGTGCTGAAGGAGCTGGCTGACATCATCACGGAGCCACTGGCAAAACTGTTTCAAAACTCATGGTGCTCTGGAGAAGTCCCTGAGGACTGGAAGAGGGCTGATGTTGTGCCTATCTTTAAGAAAGGGAGAAGGGAGGACCCAGGTAACTATAGGCCAGTAAGCCTAACTTCTATCCCAGAGAAAATCCTGGAAAAATTAATTAAGGAGTCTATGTTTGATAGGCTTGTAGAAGGTATGATTCTGAATGACAGCCAGCATAGCTTCATCACAGGCAGGTCTTGTCTAACCAACCTCATCTCCTTTTACGATCAGATGACTTGCCACCTGCATAAGGGAGAAGTGGTGGATGTTGTATACCTTGACTTCCAAAAAGCTTTTGATCTGGTATTCCACAATGTTTTAACAAGAAAACTGGAAGATAGTGGGCTTACCTGTGAGACAGTTAGGTGGGTACAAAGCTGGCTTTGGGGTAGGATCCAGAGAGTCCTAATGAACAGAATTGGTTGTCTTGGTGAGAAGTGGGCAGTGGTGTCCCACAGGGGTTGGTGCTTCCTCCTGTACTTTTCAACATCTTTATCAATGATTTGGATGAGGAGGGGAAGAATTCACTGGCCAAGTTCACAGGTGACACACCAAGTTATGCAGAAGCATGGTCACGCTTGAATATAGGCTACAGATACAGGTGGATCTAGAAGGCTAGCAAGTTGGGCCAGTCAGAACCAGATGAAGTTCAGCATTGAGAAACGCAGAGTGCTTCACCTGGGGACCAACAATTGAATTCACACCTACAGGCCTAGCAACACCAACCTGACCTGCACTATGAATGAAAGAGACCCGCGAGTAATAATAGACCACAGTATGAATATGAGCCAGCAATGTGACTCTGTTGCCAGCAGGGCAAACAATGCATGCATGCATGCATCAATTAATGCATCTCCGGCAAGACTGAGGAGGTGATTCTCCCACTCTGCTCAGCACTGGTGAGACCCCAACTGGAGTACTGCATCCAGTTTTGGGTGCCACACTTTAATAAGGACATGGTATAACTCGAGAGTGTCCAGAGAAGGACCACCCATATGATTAGAGGCTTTCACAGCAAGCCATACGAGGAAAGGCTGAGGGACCTGGGAGTCTTCAGCCTGAAAAAGAGAAGGCTGAGAGGGGACTTGGTAGGAATTTACTGCTATATCAGGGGCTCGGTAAACAACTGTTCACCAGGGCACCCTTGCAGGGAAACAGGAATAATGGTCACAAACTCCTGGAAGACCACTTCAGGCTCAACATTAGGAAAAAATTCTTCACAGTTAGGGTGTCCGGACTGTGGAATAAGCTCCCTCCAGAGGTGGTGCAATCATCTACCCTGGAAATCTTCAAGAGGAGACTGGATAGTCATCTTGCTGGGGTCACCTGACCCCACTTCTCTTTCCTGCCTTGTGCAGGGGGCTGGACCTAATGATCTTTGAGGTCCCTTCTGGCTTTACAATCTATGAATGTTTCCTGGACCATCACAGCTACAGATTCACTCAAACAAGAAATCAGCAAAGGAAAGGTAAGATGCATGTTAAAATATAAAAGAAGAAAAAATTTACTGTAGAGCTAGTATCTTACACGGCCTAATGGAATGTTTACTCTCTTAGGCTCAAGTCTTGGGAGCAGCTTTGCTTCTGACCCTCATAATGCAAATCCAAGACCACAAAATAATTGTTGAATATTTTCTATGTACAGTACATAAGACAAAAAAGATACTGAGAGACTAACACAATGTTTTCTGTTTTTATTATAAGCGAGAACTGATAACATTTTTTATGCATGGTTTTGTTAATCAAATAAATCTTGATGATTTCAGGTATTCCCAAGTTGATTACAGCTGATATGGTTAAAGAAGGTGCCACTGTGATTGATGTAGGAATCAACCACATCCACAACCCTCTTACAGGGAAGACAAAATTAGTAGGCGATGTGGACTTTGAGGGTAAGTAAAATATTTCTTTTGATAGAAAACTGCTGCATAATTATATTTAGGATTTAAGTTATTTGATAAAGGTCAATGAGAAGTTATCAAATAAACCCTTTCTCATTTTAGGACAGACACTGGACAATCAAAAAATTAATGTACCTAGGCTCAATTTATATACTAACAAATATGAGTGTTTTAAAGGAACCTGCTTTGTTAAGTACAAAAAGCCTGCCAGCTATATTGACGGATGTATTGGAAGTGATGGTGAAAGGCTGTGGCTCTCTCTTCTCACCAGACTTCCCTGCCCCCTTTAGGTATCTTATGCCCCAGGAACATTGAGAAAGAAAGAGCAGTTCCCACGCTACTGCTGGCATAGGGACTGCAGCTGGGTACAGCATATCTTACATCACCACTAGTTAAGCTGCTGTCATCAAGATCTTTTCTGCACTTTGACTTTAACCTCATGTTTGAAAACATTAACAATTTTCACTTTAGAAATTTTCTGTGCGCCAAGACTTAGCATATGTGAATTTATTTCTGAAAATCTTGATTGTTCCAGGCTCTCTTGTCTTACATCAATATACACTTGGTCATTTGTGACTTCACTTTAGTTTCTTATTGTGTGCTCTGTGTTCAGAAACAACTACACAATATAACTTGATTAAAAATCTCGACTCAAGAGGCCATCCAGACTGGAATAGCAGGATTGTTGCAGTTCAAAATTAGAGTTTATTGGCAGAGCTGTGTGTGGGAAGCTCACACAGGACCTGCCCACATTATTACTGGTTCATGGCATAGTTCCTTATTTTGATATTCATGAAATAAACCCACATTGTAAAACAATATACGTTCTAAAATCTTGACCTGTAAGTTCTCAATCTCGAATCCTAATTATATTAATATAATTTTAAAAGGTTATAATACTATTTGGTGGCTGGTGGGGAAAACCTGTCTTATTCATATATATAAATCTATCAAAGTTTGTGAAATTATTCACATGAGTAGAGCAAGTGAGTTCTGACATTCCCTATATTGGAGAAACCTTTTGCATTTGGATAGTTGTATGAGTAAGATAAGCAATAGATAGGACATTATTATAGATATACAGTTCTAACCAAACTCTCTTCATTTTCTGCTTTGGATAACAAAAAGAAAAAGATGATAAAAGAAACAAAAATTAACATTCAGAACTTAAACTGATAAAGAGGGAAGTCCCACAAACCATGAAAATGTAAAATTCACTATAATTTTCAGAAATATAACACACTAAATTAATTTGCTACATGTCTCTTTTGGGTTTTTTTAATGTTTGTCTGGTACTCTGAAAGAAATATAAAGCTATATACAGATGGCCAGGTCATGATTCAAGGTTTCAGTAATGCAGACATATTACTTTACTGTATGCGTCTCAACAGGTTCTGCTGTGGGTTGTTCCTCAGGATTTTACCTGGGGTGAGGGAAGATCCCAGAAAGAGGGAGGAACTTTAACTTAGTTTATGCCACTAAAGTTCCATGTAACATTTAGCTTCATATTGCCAAAGGGAAATTGTTGCTGGTTCATTAGTATCGGTGAAAGTTTCACTAAATCATTAATGAAAACAAAGCAATCTGATCTGTACAGGCTGCAAAATGAAGTATTTAGAAATATATCACACTTTGAAATTACTTGGCTGGGCAATTAAGAAATGAAACAAGCCATTATAATGGCAGAAAAGAATATATTTATTTGGTATATTAATCTTATTATTTGACAAATTCCTATTTCTATCCTCTGGTATTTTTTAAAGCTTGAGGTCAGACATTTACAATTACTAATACAGTGTCCATTTCATATGTGACATGGTTACATCCTGCCACCCTTCCTCAAGCCCTGCCATCCCTACTGTCACACCATCCTTAATATAGCAAACTGACACCAGGATGAAGAGCTGGACATTAATTTACACTTGGGCAATCCAAGTGTAAATTACCTTTATCAGAGAGAGATATGAATGTGGCTTACATTAATCAAGTAAGCTGATTTGAGATCTTCTAGAGTGTTAATAAAGTTTAACAGTAGGGTGGGTGGAAACTTGTTTCAATTGTCCCTTCACATGTAATATCTTATATTTTGCGCTCCACTCCCTAGGGTTGGGTTTGAAACAATGGAATTATTTGTTTCATATGTTTGTTTTTAATTTTACTTTGCTTCTTTTGGAACAGACAATACTTGAAAGATACAGTTACAAACTAAAGCTTCTGATGCTCTAAAATGGGAAAGGGGAATGAATTTCCATGTCAGGTGGAAGGTATTTAAGATGGCTGTTGAAATTTTAGAAGTTTTATTTTTTGATAGTTTAAAATGTTTCTTCTGGCTCAGGAAAACATTTATAATACGACGAGTATTCTCGTCTTCATGAGTGAACAGAGAGGTGATCAGAAGTCATTTGGGTGTTTATATATTCTGTGTTGCTCCCTTCCCCTCCCTTGGCTTAAGTCGCAGGCCCAGGTCACTAATATTGTAGCCTGATTGTGGCAGGGCTCCCAGTTTCACTCCCAGATCATAGTGTCCCCCCCACCCCACACACACACACACACACCCTGACTGGCTGGCGGGGTAGGTTTAGGGCCAGGTTTAATAGCAGCAGCAGAGGCCTTGCTCCCAAAGCCTCTGATCACTGCTGTAAAGCCCAGGCTTCTGCCATCCCCCCCACCCCCCTCCCCCTGCCTCACTGGAAGAGTCAGGGACAGCAGTAGCAGCCATCTGTCTCCCCCCACCTGTTGTTTCTTGACAGGCAGGGAGGAAATTCCTTTTTCAAAAATGCTGCTCTGCTCTGCTGTGCTAGGCTCCCAGCCAATCAGCAGGGAATCTGATGCTGAGCTTAGCATCAGCCAGTCAACATGGTGGGTTCCTGTATGGCTGGGATGAGATGTTCTTGGCTTGCCTTAGTTTCTTCTTATTGAAGGTGGAGAGTAGCATGATTGGAGCAGGGAGGCAGGCAGGCAGTGATGTAGCTGCTTGAATAGTTGCACCAAAAGCCTCCTGCTTCCTTGACTGGCTGCTCTTATAATCACATGTGTGGTCAGCCTCTCCATGTGGTTGGGCTACTGCTGCTATACATTGAAGGTAAGAGGCTTTTTCCTGGGCTTAGAAGCTGCTGGCTGCCTTAGGCAGAATGCCCTGGTGCAGGTTAGGGGAGGGGCTGTTTGCTCTCTACATGTGTTCTCTCCCCCTGCCCTCACAAGTGCCTGAAGTATGATCAAGAAGTAGCCCTTCTGGTTGATGAATTCAAGACCATCGTTCACAGGGGAAATGGTCGCAATATGTGTTCTGCTGGCTGCCCCTACACAGTGGGAAAACTCAAGCTGGCAAATCTATCCACAGCCTCCTGTGGATCAGCAAGCATATGACACTTGAGGCCATCATCCACTGGATTGCCAGGTACATTTGTACTGCTTCTCCAGCTGTTGACTTGTTCATGCCAAAATGGTTTACTATAGACCAGAGGCTATCTCGGGTTGTGAGCTTTCATATAGCAGTGGCAATGCACTTCTCCACAGATAAGAGCACTTTTGTCACCATCATCCACTGCTGTATGGTTGGACCAAACTTGGTGCAGATATCTATGAAGATGTCCCTGGACATGCAGAATTGCCCACTACTGCTTGTTGTCCCAGGTGGCCATGACAGTCCACTCCCACAAATGTCACTGCACAGTCTGGAGTTTCTCCCACATCTATCTGACCATAGTGTGCTGACCTGCAACCAAAACATCTTCAGAGGAGCAGCTGCTCCCGCAGACAGGGATCCAGACATAGCCATGGTCCACCTGTTGTTTGGGAGAGTGCAAATGCAATGTTTTCCCCAGCAAGTACTGCTCCATCATTCTTGGGGCCAATAAAATTAGTTATGGTTCTCATCAGGGTTCACCATTGTTGCCTTTTCCACTCAGTCTCCCCCATTAGTTCACAAAAGCTGGAGCTGCAAGATCTGCAAGTACTGATCTATAGTAGCTGATGGTGTTAAAAGCTGGCCTGTGGTTCCAGGCAGCACAAATGCAGCAGAAATACAGGCAGGTAATCAGTGGCAAAAGCTGCATGGTGAATCACACCAGAATCCCTCCTAAACAAAATTCCCAGTGCACTCACAATTTGAATAACCAGTGGACTCTTTATTCAGGTCTTACAAGCCAAGGGAACCTTTGGACATTTGACCAGCGCCAGGCAAATTCATATACTTTGGCTGTCCTGTTATGTGTGGACCTTCCCTTTTGAACAGAAGACAACTGCTACTAAAGAGAATGAGATATGTGGCTCCTGAGCATCTCTGAAATGTCAGACCCCAATTTTTTTGTTGGCATAGCTGTGTTAGGCAGGTGCTGTGAGCTGTGATTTTTGACCAATATAGCTGCACTGGCAAAGGCGAATAGTGCCCATGTTGTATTTGGCAAACTGCATTTTTTTTGCTGCAATAGCTGATTTCACTTGTAGTAGAGGGGGGCTAGAATGCACTATTCATGCAAAGACACTTTTGTATTATCAGCTGCATTACTACACAGGGCAAAGTTGCAGATACTTTAGAGCAGGGGTGCCCAACCTGCAGCACACGTGTCATAAGCGGCACAGGTAGCCTCTTTGTGTGGCACACAGAAGATCAGGGAGAGGGCAGGGAGCAGAAATTAATGGAGAAGATCAGGCAGGGAAGATAGGGTAGAGAGCAGAAAACATAGCAGCACATCAGGCAGGGGAAGAGGATTAGCGTGGCACTTGGGGAGGGTGTGGAGCTTAATTTGTAGCATGCCTGCCAAAAAGGTTGGTCCCCACTGCTTTAGAGGATAAGATTAGGATTTAGACTGGCCTAGAAAATAATCCTAAATAAATCAAATTCAATAAGGACAAAGGGAAATGCCCTACATTTTGAGCTGGGATAAAATAACTGGTTGGCGTGCAGTACTGCAAAAGACCTGGGATTTATAGTTAGGGTAACCATACATCCTGGTTTGGCCAAGACAGTCCTGGATTTCACAGGCCATCCC